AGAGCGGTTGGAGACATGGGCTTGAGCATCTCATGAATCTCTGAATTTGGAGGCTGTCCTAATCACTAAACTTAAACCCAGAGTGTCATCCTGTCTCCTCTTGCAGCTGGGCGTAAAGGAGCAACTCTGCGTTTCTTCAAGGACATAAAGCCATTTCATCAGGGCCTAATGGTGGGGATCGAGAAATATATCTGCAGCATTTCTTTTTGGCTGGCTTGGTGGCAACTCCTCTCTGTATTTTGGTTTAACATGGTTTCCCACTCACCATCTAGGTTTCTAGGCTCATTCAGGTCCAAAACTGTTACCTGAGCCCAAATGTTTCCTGTAGCTACCACAGTCCTGTTCCGAGCCTGAAGCAACTCAAATTGTGCCTCAGATATTCAGTCTTTGGGCTCATAAATCCACTGCTGAAGTCCTGCCTCGTTGCCTGTCAAAGATAGGCAGCAAGTATGTGTCAGATAAGCTATCCCTCCAGAATACCTTGCTTCTTGGCTGGTGCTTAGCTCATTCCAGTCTCAAAAGCAAGAGGAAACATGTCTTTTTAGCAGGATTAAACCTGCAACAAGCTTGAGAAGAGTTACCTCTGGCAGAATTGCCATGTGAGGCTCTTTCTGGAGATGCCCCAAAATGTTCCCACATCACACTTGGGATTTCTGGTTGCTATAGTAACTGAAAGCCTGTTGTTAACATGTTGTGCCACCGAGTTGTTCTGTTGCTCACTGTCAAGGAAACTAGCACTTTCATCTAATTTTGTAGGCACGGGGTAACATAAAAGCAAAGAAGAGAGAAGAATAGTCTGACTTTCCTCCTATGCCTTTTTAACCTCTGTGTAATTCACACTTCAGTGGGATAATTCCTGATTTCCTCCAATGTACAAGGCAAAACATTTCATATACTGAATCGTTCAGATGCTCATAAAATGCTGTTCAGTTCCCTTCTGTCCTTTCTTCTCCCTTCACTCCTACTCCATGCTAGAGTTATTGTCTTCAGACAGGCTGGAAAGTCTTTGAGGAACGGACTGTTCTGTCCTTAATATAGCAGGGCCTAACGCTGAACCTGGCTGAGGTTTTTAAATCCTGCCCTAATGGAAATAAAGTGTCAGAATTTATAAATCAACATCGATAGGTCTACTGATGCCAAAATTGGCCCATACCAATATATTACACACCCTCTCCCCAGAATTAATTATGAAATCACTCCAGTGTGGAAATTTGGTCCTGTACCCATTACAGTGGTTACTGAAGGTACAAATGGTACCTGGGCTAATTCAGCTTGATGGATTGTCTTTTAAAGTTGGGTTTTGGCCTTGCAAGCTATTCTTGCCCACAATTCACCAAGAAAGAGGGGGTGGCTGCCTGAATGTCTTTGACAGCATAGTCTTGATTCAGCACTATTTGAAACTTGTCCTGCCACAGAGCTGCCTTTTCCTTCTGGGAACATACAGATGGTCTAAACAAAAAAGAGAAAATTTTTTCAGAGTTTGATAAAGTTCAGCATTTCTCAGAGTCAAAGCCAAAAACTGACACAGGACTGGCAGCTAAGGTCTTTGGAGAGAGAATGTGGTTCAAAAAACAAAAAAAGCTATAGCATCCAACCCATGAAGTTCGACATTGCAATATCTGATGAAATTTAGTCCATGATCCAGGTGGGTTTCCACTTTTGTCCTATCCGTATCATAAGTAAAGCAAATCCCAAGCCTCTTGGAAATTGCTAAGCTAGTTAGCCAGCACAGTGTGAGGTTTCCTTCATCACCTTAGAAAGGATAGTGTTCAACTGTGATGTCAGCAGAAACAAGTGGATTGTGTGATGTCACATCTGTCAGTGAGGAATATCCTAGTTGCCTCCAGCAGAGGTACTTGTTGCTTTTGGTGAGAATACGGAGCGGGGCGATGCGCTGAGGTGTCTGCAGAAGTCTCACTGCTCTGAACATGGTGAAAGAGCATTGGATTAGAATGGGATTAAAATGTTGTTCCTTACCCTCTGGTTTTTAACTCCTCTAATCAGCAGCATCCATGCAGGTAAGTGGATTATTAAACATACTTTCCTATTCTTAGTTACAGTATAGTGACTCCACAGTCTTAACATGAGTAAGAAGAGAGGCAGGTCCTGAAGAATGGGCTACCAGCTCCTGGATGCCCTGCTCCAAGTTGAAGCTTTCAGTACCTTCTGCTGGAAAAGGCCTTCCAGATGTGAGGTACATGGATGTGAATATTGGTATTCACTTTTCCAACTGTGTAATAATTTCCAGAGACATGGGGAGGCAGTGATGTACAGACCTCTGTGTCCAATGAACTCTCACATTTGTAGAGCATTTGAAGAAACTACTTTCAGTGCTTTTTCCGCCAGCTGCTTTTGTTCCCATAGACATGCATAATTTCCAGCCTCTGGGATGTATATCCTTGGAAGCAGGATATGTAACCAGCTGAAGCTGTGGTCTTTCTAACTCTAGGTGGAATTTACCTTACCAGACTTTAGCCAGCTAAAAAACACATATCTAATCTAACCTAAGAGATATATTCATCTCTAAGTGGAATTTGTTCCTTCTATCAGAGACGCCTATCTTAGAATGGGATGAATCATCTTCTAAAGGTACCTCACTCTCTCCATTAACTACAAAAATAGGCTTGCTTACACTAGATTTCTATCTTTTAGATGACTAAAATTTAGGTGAGATAAATGAAACTTGAACAGCTAACTCAAGCCTTTATGGGGAAATAGCAAGTGGGAAATGAGAGGTATTATTGCCAACATCTTTCTTGTTAGTGAATATTGTATCCAATTTTGGTGGCCAATCCTCAAAAATAATGTTGGCAAAGTAGAAAAGGTTCCAAAAAGACCTAGAGGGATGAATCATATTCTAGAATGACTGCCTTACTGTGAGAGACTAAATGTACTCAATTTAGTTATCAAAGAAATAGTTATGAAAGAACTGACCACAATTTATAAATGCCTGTATGAGTGAGGATGAAAATTCTGATGAAAGGGGCCCTTTAACTCACATAAGATCACATAAGATCCAAAGGATGGAAACAGCAACTAAATGAATCAGACTAGAAATAAATCATGTCCTTTCAAAATGAAGGCAGTCAGCCATTGGAACAATTGCCCAAAGGAGGTGTCACAGTCTCCACCAGCTGAAGTCTTTTGATCAAGAGTGGATGTCTTGACAATAGCGTTATCTTCATCCTGACTTACCGCTTGATGCATAAACTGACTGATGAAATTCTCCAGCTCCCACTGTGCAGATGATCAGGTTACATTGCCACCATGCTCCTTCCCCATCCCAAATGCACTGTGCTTGTTGTTCTGCTCACATATCTGAATTGCCAAAAAATTCTGATGCAAACACACCCATATTTCCCATCCACGTAAAATCCAATTGTGGTATTACAGGTATTCTATCACCCGTCCAAAAAGCAGAACCAAACCGCATTACCTATGTCTCCTTTCCTTCTAGCTGCGACACTGGAGCATTTGAAGCCCCTAATGAACTGTGGCATCTAGACCACATTTCTAGAGGCATCAGTGGATGCTTCCTTTCCTTAGTTTATTTACTTGCCCAGCTGCAACTGTGGTACAGCTCAGACACATGAAATGCTTGTTGCAAACTGGCTTGGCTAAGACCAAGCAGACCTCTGTGAGGCACACAAAATCCACCCAAGAAGTGATGAAAACTGGCCTGGGCTGAATAGCGGGTGGTACCCAAACAAGCCAGTTTAACGCAGGACTGAGGATGTCTGTGCTCACCTATGGTCCTATTTTTTATCAACACGTCGTGTTTTGTGCCTAGAGTGTGGCCTCAGATCGTCTTACCAGCCTTCTCTGAGGAGTGGCGAAAGGATCATAGGAGGGACAGATGCCCAGGCTGGTGATTTCCCCTGGCAAGTGAGCATCCAGAGCAAAGGGAAACATTTCTGTGGAGGCACCATCATCAGTAGCTGGTGGATTTTAACTGCGGCACATTGCTTTGTGAAACAGCTGTGAGTACTTGAGCAAAGCGAGGCCAGCTAGTCCCCCGGCACAGCGGGGAGGCACTGTGGGGTAGCACTTCTCCCCATGGGTGTAGGGTATGTATGACCTTGTGGTCAAGAATGAAGTACATGGAGCTAGTCACTGAGCCAGAAATAGAGAGACCTGAACACAGGAATGATCTCCTTTGGTGAAAACAGGCCCATTTTTGGTCAGGGATGGCTTTACAAAAAAAAAGTGTACAAATCTGGACAGCCAGGAGATGCAGGAGGGGGGATATTTTGAAGGATGGTGTGAACACTCTAGCAGAAATGCTCATGATGTTGTGCTGATGCTCCCCCCTTCCTCCACAATCAGTTCCTGTATGCCTACGCAGATTGCAATAATGCAAAAAAACCAGGTGTATTCTATTCTGGCTTATTCTAATCCCAAAGCTACCTCTGCTGTCATAGAGCAAACATCTTCACCTCACAGAGAATCTGATGTGAGAGTCTGTGAATAAATCACCCCTGTGCAATGCCCAGGGGCAGAATTCAGCCCCCTGAGAGCCCCCTTCTGAGATAGGGCAGTTCAAGAGTAGGACTGCTTGGTGACAAATGGCCTGCGGCAGCTGAGCTGGAGCAGCTGGCTGGTAGCAGCACGGTCCGGAGCAGCCAGCCCAGGACACAATGATCCCGAGCAACCAACCCACTCCATCTGTTCGTTAGCACCTGGGCTATTTATAACTTCTGTACATTCTTGTTCTGCCTCTGTACCGCTTTCTCCTGAAATTTAGCTCTTGCCTAGAAGTGAGGGTAGATTTCTGTGATATTTATAGCTAACCCTCCCTCTGCAATTTGCTGACCAGCACCCTACCCTCCTCAGAGGGAGAAGGCATCAGCCTTTGTAACACAAAATCTTCATGTTTTGTCATACATATATTTCTTCTCTTTTGTTAATAAGGCCACCAGATCTCACTGTTGTGGTGGGGACAGTAGACCTCGGCCAAAAGCGGGAAAACAAAAAGCTGGACAGCTTGATTCTCCATGAAAACTTTGACAGTGAGAGCATGGAAAATGATATTGCTTTGATCCTGCTTGACTCTCCCATCCAATTCAGTGAACAGAAAATGCCCATCTGCTTACCCTTCATAAGTGACCTCCACGTATGGAAAGATTGCTGGGTTGCTGGATGGGGCACCACACTTGCAGGTGAGAGGTTGTCAGGAGATATATTTGCTAATGAAAGCTGGTATGCATTCATTTAAAGCAGAAGTTCTTCCCTGGAAGGGATTGCCATGCTATCTTTCAGTCCCTATCTCCTTTGTAAACAGCTCCAGGCCCTTTCAGCCTCTTCAGATCCACCAGTTCTGAGTTCATTACAGGAACCGGTCATCTCCTGAGCCCCCAGAGAAAAGTACCTGGTACTCTGAGCACATACGTTCAGACTGAAATGTTAAAGCTCATCTTTGCTCTCCAAGAGCTCAACTTTCTTGCTCGCGTTTTTCAGCACCCAAAGCTAGACAAACCTCACACTGATGGGCAAGTTATGCTGGGTCTAAAGTGTTCTGGAGGTCTAGGGTTGTCCTTGGGTTAATGCCTCCACAAATCTGATTGATTCAATGGATTCTGGCCAGCCTTCTTCATTCATTCAGGAGAGCAGGTTGCTATTGCTAATTGCTCTGGTTTAAGCCCTGCTGAAATTTACTCTGACACTGAATGTGACCCAAAGTGTCTATCCTGAACAAATGTCAGTAAATGGATAATGGGCCATTTCATTATTGAAATCAGGACATTGTGATTAAGCATCAGTGCTTAAGCCTTCGGGCTTTAACAGACCTTCCTGGGATATAGTTAGTTACAATGCCATTTAATCCTTGTTACTCAGTATTGTAGGGGTATTAACTCCCTTTCAAACCTCTGCGTTTTCCTTCCTATCCTTTGTTTGCCTCACGTAACAGTAAAACACAACTCAACAGCAAATTATAGTTGTCAAACTCTCCCTTTTCACTGGGGCTGCATCAGAGGGGAGCATTTCCTCCCTGTTTTCTTCAGTGGCATGGACTCCAGAAGCACAAGGACTTCCTCAGACTTTGATCCTCGTTTGACGGTAGGTTTCTGTAGCTGCTCTTCCTTAATTAGCCTCTTTGCAAAATGCTTGGTGCAAGGATCTCACTTTGCTGGCACAATTGATCTTGCTTTGGAGAATCTCTCTATAATCTAAATTGCACCCTGTGGGAGCTCAATCGACCTGGCCCTTGCACCCTCCTCTTCTGTCGAGGAGACATTTCAGAAGAAACGCAGGAGAAGCTGAATCTAGTGGGAGAGATGTACAGTGGTGTGATATTGGCCATACCAAAAACTAGCGGTCTCATGTAGAGACCGTGCCCTCGAGCACTATACACCAATGCAAATAAATGCAAATAGTGGGCAACTAAGTGAGCCCTTCTGCTCAAACTGAATCCCACCTTGACATTTTGCTGAGTGATGCTGGGTGCAATTCCACTTCTTCTGAATGACGCATTGCTCCTGGATGGGGGAAAATGGGTCATTTCTCATCTCTACTAGCCTTTTGTCTATGAGTATCTCTCAGATAGCATCTCATGTGACAGATGGCAGCTGACTCTCCTTCGACTGCAGTCATTTAAACATCAAGTCACATGGAGCCACCTCCGTGGAGATGCCTACATAAAAGCATTTTAATCTGTGGGCTGCCTTCTGTGGAGGGATCACATGTTAGTTGGGAAAGAGACATGACACCTTTCTATCTTTTAGACACTACCTCTGAGTCCCTCTTTCCTGAAGGTGCAGGGAGGATGTAGTTCAGTGAAATATGGAAGAAGGGGAGAGTTTTTGAAAATCTTTGGGTCTTCTCTGCGCAGCAACATCCCCCAAAAGTCTTTTTATCCTTCAGATTCAGATTCATTTTGAAGAGAAACGTGGGTGAAATGAGTGGGTTTTCCATACAGCCATGAATATTTTCAGTCTCTTCCTTGTTTGCTGTTGCACCCTGTGATTTCTGATTTTCCATCTCAAGGAAGAACAAAGTGGTTGTTTCAGTTGTGTACTGCTGTCCTGAGTACCACTTTGGGAAGGATATGGCCAGTCTCCTGGGTGAGGCCTCGCAGCCCCCAGGAAAGGATGACGCTAGTGAGAAAGACAAGATCTTCTGCCCCAGGGGAGGCTCGATGGACTTGGCTCCTTGAACTGGGCTCCCAACACTGAATCACCCAGGAACAGGAGTGAGACACCAGAGCAGAGCAGTGCGGTGCACCTCATCTCAGAGCATCACCAACGCCAAAGGGATAAGTCGTCCCTTTGGGGGTCTTCCAGCTGTGCCATATCCCAGAGTTCATCTGCAATAATAAGTGGCTTTTTAATCCTGTTTAGCTAGCCTCCGCTCCCCTGGATTTTGGCTTTCCCCATTAACACCTTCTGCCTACTCTCACTCTACCTACCCTCCTTGCCAGGAGCACAAACTTTTCCCTGCTAACATTAGGCAGCCCTTGTGAGCCCCCATGACCTCAGGACCATATAGCTGGGCCCTGTGACACTCTTGCCTCAAGATGCTTTAGACGTTCAACTGAAAGCAGTCCCCTGAGCTGGTGTCCGGCTGTGGTTTCACCTGTGTTGTTTGGCAGGGTTTGCTAATCCCTCCCCCCGCTCACTTGCTGGATAGGGATTGCGGTGTCAGCATCCCGGGTGCTGCAGAAAGTGGAGATGAAGCTGGTCAGCAGGGAGCAGTGCTTGCAGTGGATCCCACAGCTAGCAGACAACATGCTGTGTGCTGGCCTTGAAGAAGGAGGAAAAGACGCCTGCCAGGTAAAGTAAACAGGCTACAGGACTGTTGCGCTGCCTGTAGGGGCACAGAGAAATTCAAAGAGAAGTGCCTTTGCTTCAGGAATGAGCATTGATCCTTTGCACAGTTTCCTGGGGTTGCTAATGCTTCTCTGCATGAGACCAGGGCAGGAAACTCAGGGTCCAAGCAACTGGCTGAGTGCCTTGGTGCACAGTAAATGCATATTGACCTGGCCAGCAGGTGTGCGGGCCCCTTGGGGTTGGGAGGAAGCCGTGGGTCTATGGACACATCCCTGCAGGAACTGAAACACCTTGTCGAGCTGACAGACCAGCCCCCCCCCCCCCCCCCCCCCCCCATGACTCCTTGCTGCAACAGGAGAGAGATGTTTCCTCTGGAAGGGAAATGGCCAGCTGAAAGGAGGCAGAGGGAGGTGAGTGGTTCCCAAGAAGTCTCTTGGATGGTAGACAGTCTTGGCTGGCTTCAGGTAAATGGATTTGCCCTTTTGTCTCATGGCAATTTAAAAATCTGCCAGTTGTTGTTGCCAAGCTGTGCAGCAGCTGGGGTGATGGGAGGAGAGGTTTCACACCCCCACAGAGAGGGCTCAGCAGGGCCCTGGCTGGTTCCTCTCCCTGCTTGGTTTCCCCTCAGCCTTGTGCAGCGCGGTGTTGCTCTATCTTGAGATTAAATACAGGAAAGAGAAAGGAAAATGTATCTAGTAGGGTCAAACCGGATGAACTGGCTGGGAAATTGAGCTCAGGAGTTTGAATACTAGAAACTTTCTGCTCATGAGGTCTTGGTTCTGAGCCAAAGGTCCTTCAATACCATGGCAGGTTTGTCCGTGAGTACCAGGACTAGAGGAGTCTGATTGCAATGAATCTGTGACATGAGATGATGAACTTCTGCAAGCCAGGTATAATGAGTTGAAGCTGTAGTTGATATCAGAGACTGCTCGGCAGAGAGAGCTGACACAAACACCCAAATATGGAAAAACCCCATTTAGAATTTGTGCCTTCAGAATATATATCACCATCAGGATTTCCGTCCTGATGCCAAATAGAGTCTAAAAGCCAAAAGAAACCTTTGCTTTCATGACATCTAACCCTTAATCCCTTCTCCCAGTGCTGAGTAAGGGCTGAGCTCCCCCTGCAGCCTCTTCTTCAGTGGAAACAGGCCTATGGTCGCTCTCCTCCACTCACCCAATTTCATGACATGTTGGAAACCAGCCAACAGTTTTCTTAGAAGCGTGTGTGTGTCTGCAAGGGGACAGATGGCCAAACACGTGTGCACAGCTTCATCCTGTAGGAGTCATTCACTTAGGGAACCAAACCAACACCCAGGATGGAGAGCTGTCCCCTGCCCTATAGGCAGGGACAGTGGGACGCAGGAGTTGTGAACTGCAGGCTGCAGTGCCATTGAAAACTGGGGCCCTTAGCTGGGCAGCAAAGGGGAAGCTCTGCTTTGCAAAATCATTCTTTGATTAGCCAGAGAGCATCTGTCATGGGCGCCATTCGTCTAATGACTTTCACCTCCATTAAATTCAATCAAAAATTTTAAAAAGAAAACTGCCACAGGATAACATTAACATGATTAAAGAATGCACTTCCCAGCCCAGCCTTAAGTTCTACCTCTGAATTATGCTGGTGAAACAGCAAGAGCACTTGCACCCAACAAAATTAATCTCCTGTATTCACAAAGCTGGCAAAGGTGCTATTTTGAGCTACAATATGTTAGAGCAGACAGAGAAATGAACTAGAAATGTGAGCTTTCCAAGCAGTGGTAGTGTACAAAGATTTTATGCGTGATAATGCTCATAAACCAGCAACTGTCCACTTTTAGTGGCAGTTTGTCCAGGCTGAAATGTCTTGCAGCCTGAACTACTAATGAGAACAAGATAGAAATATACCCTAGGCTAGAAGTGGAGCTGTGCAGGGGTGAAAGAGATGACATGACTTTTCATCAGAATTTGCTGATTTACTGGAAAGGGAAGTGTTTTGTTGATGGACAGTTTTCTGGGAAATGTTGAGTGAAATCAGATAGGGAAGCAGACACAGTTTGGCCTTGTGAGGCTGGTTGAGAAGGCTGGTGGCTTACGCATACTGTGGTGGCTGGTAAAGAGCTGGGAGACCAGTTCCAAACCTGGCGCTTCTTCTGCAGCATGGAGGTCCTCTGTACTGGATAGGTAGCAAGGCACATTGTATAAAGTGCAATCTATTGAGCTATTCTATTGCATAAGGATTTCTTAAATGGTTTGGGTTTTCTGTCGAATGAGACTCAGGACAGATTTCAAAATAACAAAACCCTCTACAAAGTGGATATGATTTCTTTGAATAGCTCTGCAGGAAATCTAGCCTACCACATCTGCTTGGATATGACCATCTACAATAACCACTCTGGATTCAAGTACCCCAATTTA